CTCAGGACAGGTCTCACTGGGGATGTTGGCTGCAGGTTGCTACTGCAGGTTGCTGCTACGTCTTCTTCATGGTCAGGTACTCTCCACACATGGACATGACCCTGACCATGGCCACGGTGTGGGGGGTAGGTGACTATGAGGAAGACGTGTATGAGGCCTATCAGGCTGAATGGGAGGAAGCAGAGCCCTGGAACGGAGGTCATGTTCCAGGACCTCATCCCACCCCAGGCCTCCAGAGGTTCTGCTGTCAGAGCCATTTTCAAGATTTAAAAAGTAGGGCACATGCAATGGATTGTCCCATGTTACCAGCTAATAAGGGGCAGAGCCTGGAGTTGCACTAGGCTTATTTGACCTCCAAGTTCTCTTTCCCACTACTCTGGGGGAAGTCCCTTATTTAACACAAAGTTATGGCTTGTGTCACGTGTCTCCTGGTGGGGACCCAGGAACCTCCCCTGCAGTATCCTAGTACCTGGCCTGGGGCCTGGCCCTAACTGGAAGCACAGTGAATGTTTGTTGACTAAATAAATGAATGACACATACAAGCAGAGCCAGTTGCAAGTTCCCCCTGCAAAGGAAGTGGATGAAAAGTGAACCCACAGAGGCTGTTGAACTCTCTTCCTGCACCCTCAGCCCTGCTCCTCTACCCACAGTCTGGCTTCCAACTCTGTTCCTCAGCCCCCAGCTTCCCAGAGGGGCTCTGGATCTCACAGTCTGACCCTGGTATCCTTCTCAAAGGTCAAGGACACCAGGGATGAGATGCTCCCAGGCCTGTAGATGCTCAGGACCAGGGGTTGAGCAGAATAAAGTCCCTGTTCTTAGGGAGCTCCTGAACTACTGGGCAAGAGAGGCCCCAAACGTGTAGTGACACAAGTGACAAGAATTCCCTATAAGGGAGGGAGCATGAAGAGGCTTTGGGGGCAGGGAGGAGCCCTCCGTGGACTGTGCATGATGGGGAGGTCAGGGAAGCTTAATTTCTAAGCTGGGGACTGAGAGCCGAGCAGGAGTTGGCCAGATAAAGAGGTAAGAAAGGGGGAGAGGAAGAATATGTTGGGAGATCCAGAGGAAGGAGATCATGTGGAACACCCAGAGACAGGAAAGAAGGTCTGGCAAGGGCTGGAGAGGTGGCAGCCACGGAGATCATGCCCAGATCTCAGACAGCGGGGAGCTGCCTTTGTCTGCTCGGGATGACAAAATACCACAAGTTTAGTAGCTAAACAACAGACATTGATGTCTCACAGATCTGGAGGCCAGAAGTCCAAGATCAAGGTGCCGGCAGATTCAGTTTCCCGTGAGGGCTCTCTTCTTGGCCTGTAGACAGTTGCCTTCTCACTGTGTCCTCACATGGCCTTTTCTTCGTGTGTGCGTGCACAAGGGGAAGAGGAGAGTGAGCTTTACAGTGTCTCCTCTTACAAGGACACGAATTCCATGGGATCAGGGTCCCACTCTTATGACCTCATTTAACCTTAATTACTTCCTAAAGTCCCCTTTTCCAAATACAGTTGCAATGGGACTTAAAGCTGCAACATATAATTCTGGGGAGGACAGAATTCAGTCCACAGCAGGAGCCATGGAAGGTTCTAAGCAGGGAGGCACTAGGGTCAGATTGGCCTTCGGGGAGCTCTTTCTGGCTGCAAAGAGGAGGATGGGCCACAGAAGGCAGGACTGGAAGCTGTTTGAATGGTTGCTGTAGTCCAGAGGTGAGACATGCCCCTGGACCAGAGGAATGGCATTTGGGAGGGAGTAGGGAGAGCTGCTTAATAAGCTTGGATCTGCAGGACTCCATGTGAAAGGAGGGCTTAGGGAGGGCGAGAGGTCAAGGATGACTGCCAGATTCCCAGCCTGGGTAACAGCTTCACGGGCATATGACCTGCATGGTCCCACACACCAAAGGCCCAGCGTTTGTTTGATGCTCTGTTGTTGCTGTCTTGAGTTATTAATAACTTTTTTTTTTTTTTTTTTTTTGAGACGGGGTTTTGCTTTTGTTACCCAGGCTGGAGTGCAATGGCGCGATCTCGGCTCACCGCAACCTCCGCCTCCCGGGTTCAGGCAATTCTCCTGCCTCAGCCTCCTGAGTCGCTGGGATTACAGGCACACGCCACCATGCCCAGCTAATTTTTTGTATTTTTAGTAGAGACGGGGTTTCACCGTGTTGACCAGGATGGTCTCGATCTCTTGACCTCGTGATCCACCCGCCTCGGCCTCCCACAGTGCTGGGATTACAGGCTTGAGCCACCGCGCCCGGCCCTAGTTATTAATAACTTTTTAACAAAAGGCCCTGAATTTTCATTTTGCACTGGGCCCTGCAAATTTTGGAGCCAGTCTGCGTGGATGGGGATCTGTGGACCTCTCTCCTCCACAGATCACCGGACTGGAGCAGGGAGGGAGCTGGCCTCCCTGTGACCTCTTTCTCTTGAGATGGTTACTTGATACTGGCCTTATTGCTGCCAAAAACAAAACAAGGACAACAAAAAAAACCCTCTCCTAATTAACACCCTCAGCACCACTAGCAGTTAAGGGCAAGGGCTTTAGAGTCTCTGAGAAGAGAGCAAATCAGTTGCTGAATTTATTGCCTTTAGGAATTTTTAAGACTCTGTTGCCTTATCTGTGGGGTGACCACATACTTTAGTGAGCAGCTCAGTACACTTCTGAGAATAGGAGGGGAAAGTGGGAATAAAACACTCACTATGCTGGGACAATGGGTGCCAACCAGGTCTGTCCCATGCAAACTGGGACACATGGTCCCCTACTTTTCTGTAAAATGAGATTAAATAGAACCATGCACAGAAAGCAGGATGCCCAAAGTAAGTGCTTAGTGAGTAGCACCTATCATTGTTTATTTTAATTTTAATTTTTATTTTTTTGAGATGGTGTCTCACTCTGTTGCCCAGGCTGCAGTGTGGTGGCGGGATCTCGGCTCACTGCAAGCGATTCCTGTGTGTCAGCCTCCCAAGTAGGTGGGACTACAGGCTCATGCCACCATGCCTGCTAATTTTTTTTACTTTTAGTAGAAACAGGGTTTCACCATGTTGCCCAGGCTGATCTTGAATGCCTAACCTCAGGTGATCCACCTGTTTCAGCCTCCCAAAGTGCTGAGATTACAGGCATGAGTCACTGCACCCAGCCTTCTTATTTTTTTTTTCACACAGAGTCTCACTCTGTCACCCAGGCTAGAGTACAGTGGTGCAATCTTGGCTCACTGCAACCTCAACCTCCCAGGTTCAAGTGATTCTCTTGCCTCAGCCTCTTGAGTAGCTGGAAACAATCACCTGCCGCCACACTGGGCTAATTTTTGTGTTTTTAACAGAGATGGAGTTTCACCATGTTGGCCACGCTGGTCTTGAACTCCTGACCTCAAGCAATCCACCTGCCTCAGCCTCCCAAAGTAATGGGATTACAGGCATGAGCCACCACGCCTGGCCATCTTTTATTTATTTATTTATTTATTTATTTATTTAGAGTTTTGCTCTTGTTGCCCAGGCTGGAGTGCAATGGCATGATCTCAGCTCACTGCAGCCTCCTGGGTTCAAGCGATTCTCCTGCCTCAGCCTCCCGAGTAGCTGGGATTACAAGCATGCGCCACTATGCCCAGCTAATTTTTATATTTTTAGTAGAGATGGGGTTTTACCATGTTGGCCAGGCTGGTCTTGAACTCCTGACCTCAAGTGATCTACCTGCCTTGGACCCCAAAAGTGCTGGGATTACAGGCATGAGCCACTGCACCTGGCCATCCTATCATTGTTTCTACACTCTGCAGTCACTCTCAATTGGTGTCCAAATGTCATTCACTTGTCAATCAACTACTCATTACCCACCACGTGTCAGGCACATAGCATTGGTGCTCCTGATGTGAAGATGTACTGATAATTCATCTATTCAGCCAACATTTTGTGAGGAGCTTATATATGCCAGGCTAGGTTCTGAGGCTAGGCTCATTCTGGGGATCCAAAGGTGAGTGACACCACATGTCCTCCTGGGGCTGGCAATCTTGTAGGCTTTCACAGGTGGAAGGGTATCTCCCAAAAATGCATGTTCACGTAGAACTTCAGAATATGATCATACTTGAAAACAGGGTCTTTGCCGATGTAATTAAGGTAAGGATCAAGATAAGATCACGCTGGATTAGGGTGGGCCTGAGATCCAACGAGAGTGTCTTTGTAAGAGACAGAAGAGTGCACAGAGACACACAGGAAAAGGCCTTGTGAAGACAGAAGCAGAGATTGGAGGGCTGGGGCACTCCACAGAATGCCAAGGATTTTCGCAGCAGCCACCAAAAGTTAGGAGAAAGGCATGGAATAAATCCTCCATCACCCAGGCTGGCGTGCAGTGGCATGATCTCAGCGAATTGCAACCTCCACCTCACACACTCAAGGGACCCTCCTGCCTCAATCCCCCAAGTAACTGGGACTACAGGCCGGCTACTTTTTGTATTTTTTTTTGTAGAGATGGTGTTTCACCATGTTCCCCAGGCTGGTCTCAAACTCCTGGCTCAAGCAATCCTCTTGCCTCAGGCTCTCAAAGTGCCAGGATTATAGGTGTGCACCACCATGCCCAGCTAATTTTTGTATTTTTAGTAGAAATGGGGTTTCACCATGTTGGCCAGTTGCTCTCAAACTCCTAATCTTAAGTGTCCGCCTGCCTCGGCCTCCCAAAGTGCTGGGATTACAAGCATAAGCCACCGTGCCTGACCTGTGCAATTTATCTTTTTAAGTTTTTCTTGAAGTATAACATACATAAAAATACACAAATCCTGTGTACAGCTCAATACACCTTCATAAAATGAACCCATCTGTATAATCTGCCCCTAGGTCAAGAAGTGAACATAACTAGCTCCCTACCTAAACTACTTGGAGGCTGCAGGAGAATTGCTTGAACCCAGGAGGCAAAGGTTACAGTGAGCCGAGATCAAGCCACTACACTCCAACCTGGGCAACTGAGTGAAACTCCATCTCAAAAATATAATAAAAAATTAAAGTTTTAAAAATTTAAAAAAATTGCACAGGTAGATGGATAACTCTAGACTGTGGCTTTGAAACAAAACTCATAGGTTCTAGGAGGCAGTATTTTTTAGTCAGCTAGGACTGCCATAACAAAATACCACAAACTGGGTGGCTTAAGCAACATACCTTTATTTCTCACAGTTGTGGAGGCTGGAAAGTCCAAGATTAAGATGCCAGCAGATTCCTGGTGAGGGCTCTCTTCCCGGCTTGCAGACAGCCACCTTCTTGCTGGGTCCTCAATGGTGGAAAGAGAGTGATCTCTTTTCTTCTTCTTATAAAGCCACCCTTCTCTGTTTACAGTTTTGTAACATTGGTAATCAATGATGGTAGTCATTTATTGAACACCTGAGACATTTTACTATGAAGTAGGTACTATTGTTGTCCCTCATTCCCGAAGAGGAGGGTGGTGCTCACTTGCCTGTTCCTGGTAGATGGTGAATCTATCTCATACCCTCTGACCCCACTGTCACTGTCTCTGAGCCAGCCATGTCTCATGATCAGGACTGAGGTGGAGGTGGGGGGCGTTGGGGATCTTTCTATTTCCCTTACTACTGTCCCAGTGATGTAGAGGATGACAGCCTGGAGGGAGGTATCTGGGGCAGCACCTGGCCAGGCACCTGGTGGGTTGGTTTGCCCAACTGCCTGGGATGAGCTGCTTAGCCTCCCCTCTTTCCTGAGAACCCAGGGCAGGGGGGTGTCTGGGAGGGAGGAAAAAGAGGGACCCAGTCACCTGGGTCACCACCTGGAGTGGCAGTTGGGGAGGAAGTGGGACATGCTGGCTGCCTTCTTCAGCCCTGGCCTCCTTCCTTCCCACCCCCTGGGCCTGACTTTGGTGCCCACCTCCAGGAGGGAGAATCAGAGAACCAGACTCACCTGCCTCTGAGCAGCTATGGAGGCGACAGCCAGGTCTTAACAGCCTCTCCAGGGTCAGCTGAGGCCTGCCATGGGCACCTCCCCTCACAGCTGGACTGCTGTTCAGAACACCGCAGCTGCAAGAAATTGGAGAAGCGAGGAGGCTGAGCAAGGAGCTGGTGCCGGGGAGACGAGGGAGGAAGGGAATCTTAGGGCACCTCCTGGTTCCCCAGTTCCTGAAAATCTACTGTCAGGCTCTACTTCCCTAAACAGTGTTTAAGGGAAGCCAGCCTACTACCACGGGCTGTGCACTGGAGGCGCCATCACATAGGTGACCACTCGTGGCCTTGTGGGTCTCTGCTGCTGCCCACGCCAGCCCTGCTTGGGTCCCGTCCCCTCATCTCCTCACTCACAAACCTGGCTTCCCTAGCCCAGTACCCAAACCCATGCTTCCTTGATTCATTCTTTCCTTTAATATGTGTTTGTTAAGTGCCAGAACCACTCATGGGGCTTTTAAGTTCTAGGGACATAGTAGGGCCAAGGCAGTCACCTGGGCCTTTGCAGTCTGGTGGGAAGCTTGGAGAGATGGACATTAAGCAGACATAATGAAAGCTGGCTTGATAAAACTCCAATGAACCCCTTTGGGGATTGACCAGCAGTTTAGGTTCTCTCAATAAAATCCACAGCATGGCGCTCAGGAGACCATGAATGTTCAAGGCCAGGGTTTCCCTCTGCAACCTGGCCCTGCACATCTGGTTTTATCTAAAGTCCTGGTACCTGCCCACTACCAGCTCCAACTGAATCAGAGCACAGGGCTTCTACCAAGTAAATACAAATATTTAACCACTTACACCTATGACCACTACTTGGCAGGAAAAGCATGACAAGTGTGTTACATGGGAATTCAACCCCATTTTAGCCATCCAGGAGGGCTTCCCAGACAAGGTGACTTTTAAGCTGTGCTGTGAAGGATGACTCAAAGTTGACCCAGACCTCTTGGGGGAGAGAATAAGCCTTCCTGGCCCCTCAACAACCCAGACTGCTCAGCCACAGTCAGATAACCCATGCCACCAGACTGTCACCGAGATTTGACAGCCAAGACTCTCAGATACTGTCCCTCCCTGGCACACATACACACTCGTACCCATGATGACAGCCATGAGACAGCCCAGCAGCTGGACCCCTTTGCTCCCCACTCCCAGCCTGATGTCCACCCCAACAGTCAGTCCTTTGCTCCTTCTCTCTGCTTCTCATCAGAGTCACTGGGTTATGACTCTGGCTTCATATTCACTGGCCATGTGTCCCTGGGCACATTACTCAAGCTCCCAAACACTGTGCCTCCACTGCCAATGAGGGTCACCATCCTCCCCACCTCTCAGGGCCACAGAGGTGGTTAGGGCTCGTAATTCCTCTAAAGCACCTTTGCAGTATCTGCTTAGTGTGGTTGCTGTCACTGTCATCTGCTGTGGCCTTGCTCTGGCCCTACCCCCATGCCCCCTCCTTCTACCAGCCTACTGTCCCCCAACTTCTGCCTGGGTCTCCTCTCTTTCTCCTCTCCCTCCTTCCAGAGTCTGAGACCCAGAATTCCTGAAGGGCTGGGGACAAGGAAGGGGGAGCCAGCTCCCCAAACAGAAATGTCACCTGCATGTAGTCCCCAGTGGAGGGGCTGGGTGAGAGCTTTCTGCTCGGCCTTGAGAACCTTGGCCTAACCCCTCACCCAGGTTTGACACAGGCTCAAACCTGTGTCAGGTCAAACCCCACCCCAGAGACAGAGCTGGGTAGGTCAGGCCGCTACCTGAACCTGTCCGCCATCTGCAAGCCAACCAGGGAGGGGACTGGCCTCGCCCCCTCTGGGGGTGCACATGCTCTGGGATCTAAGTCCACACAGGAGAGCAGGAGGTGGAGAGCACCTCACAGAGGGGTGTTGGAATCCCACGGCCTCCTCTACTTGTCCGGGTCATCTTTGAGAAGTCGCCTCACCTCTCCGAGCCTTGGTCTCCTCATTGGTAAGATGAGGCTGGACAATTCCTGCCTACCGCCCACTCAGGGCTGTTGGGAGAAGCAAGAGTTGAGAAGAGGGAAGCAGAGAATCCTGTCAAGCCTGGGAACCAATGCCTTTCCGTCGCCGGCCAAACTGTACGTTTTGGCCAGCAGATGGCGCCATAGAAGCGCCAGTGTCTCAGCACCAGGCCCAGGACATTTGTTAAACGTGGCGAAGCCGTCTTACTCAAGAGTCCAAACTCTGGAGCTGATGGATATCAGATTCTACCCCCTTAAGCGGCTCATGCCTGTAATCCCAGCACTTTGGGAGGCCGAGGCGAGTGGATCACAAGAGTTCGAGACCAGCCTGGCCCACATGATGAAACCCGTCTCTACTAAAAATACAAAAATTAGCCAGGGGTTGGGGCAGGAGCCTGTAATCTCAGCTACTCAGGAATCTGAGGCATGAGAATTGCCTGAACCCAGGAGACAGAGGTTGCAGTGAGCCGAGATCACACTACTGCACTCCAGCCTGGGCGAAAGAGTGAGCCTCCAACTCAAAAAAAAAATATATATATATACCTCCTTAATAACAATGTGACTTGGTAAGCTGCTTAACCTCTCTGAACCTCAGTTTCCCCATCTGGCATCCCTTCTTCTGGGGTTGCTGGAGGATTGATTTGCTCCAGGGTGCAGAGCGCAGCGCCAGTGCTCAGTGACATGACTGGTACAACCCACTCAGGAGCGAGTCTGCAGCTCCATCCATTCCTGCCAAGCAGCCCTGGCTTCAGCCACACCCCCATGCCCTCTGCAGCCAGGTCCCCAGGTTTCACTCGCACCCTCCACCCTCGGACTGGAATGTTCTTTCCCTCCTTTCTTCATCATTTCCTAGGAACTTTGAGACTTCTTGGGTTTTTTTCTAATTGTATTTTTAAAACTTTATCCAGGTATTATTTATAAATCATACAATTCATTCACTTTAAGGGTACAAGTCAATGATTTTCGGTAAGTTTACCAAGCTGTGCTCACGATTTGATTTTCAAAATCATGCATCTCAAATTCTACCTCTTTCTTGAGTCCCAGACCATGTGTGCTGCTGCCCCTTGGCTGTTGCCCCCTAGCTGGCCCCTGCCTTGCCAACTCAGTACACCCCCAGCCAGATCCATCACTGTCCTCCCTTCCCTTCTCCTCTCCCAGGTTTCCCATGTCCCTTCTTGGCCAGCAATCCCATCCTTTTTCTCTGTGTTCTTAGTACTTTGTTCAGGACCTGGTACATAGTAGGTGCTCAATAGAGGTTTGGTGAGTGGGCTGCACACGTGGCTCACACCTGTAATCCCAACACTTTGGGAAGCTGAGGCAGGCGGATCACTTGAGGTCAGGTGTTGGGGACCAGCCTGGCGAACATGGTGAAACCTCATCTCTACTAAAAATTACAAAAATTAGCTGGGCGTGGTGGTGTCAGCTGTAATCCCAGCTACTTGGGAGGCTGAGGAGGCAGGAAAATCACTTAAACCCAGGAGGTAGAGTTGCAGTGAGCTGAGATGGTACCACTGCTCTCCAGCCTTGGCAACAGAGCAAGACTGTCTCCAAAAAAAAAAAAAAGTTTTCTGAGTGAATGAATAAAACCAATGTGACCCTTTACCCACGTTTGATTGTTCACCCCTCACCTCCCACCACCCAGTCACCTGTTAGATCTACCTTGGAACTATCTGCCTGATGCTCACCCTTCCCACAGTTCTGCTCCCCTGGCCTCATACTCACCCACACCCTGCCTCACTCTCCTCTGTTTTTTTTTTTTTTTTTTTTTTCCCTTCCTCTCTGCTCCATCCCAGAGTGACTTCTCAGAAAAGCACATGTGATCCCACCTCTCCCTAAGAATGTGCTACCCACTCATCTGCAATGATGTTAATACCCCCAAGTCTGACACCAGCAGCCCCCGGGATCTGGTCCCAGCCCATCTCTCAGACTCAACTCTCTCCTTCCCCTCTCCAACTCTCTCAGACTCTAATCATCCTAAACCACAAGAGCCGTATGATGCCATGATTAAAAGGCAGGACGGGGTCAGCCTGCTTGGAGACCACATCCCAGTGGCAGCGCCTCTCTGAGCCTCAGCTTCCTCGACTGTAAAATGAGAGTGACAATAACAGTGACCTTGTAGAGTTGTTGGGAGGTTTAAACGAGATGATGAAGGTAAAGCGCTTAGAAAGGGCTTGATACACGGTCCATACTCAATGTTAGTTTCATTTCACTGACAACCAGCTGAATTTCTGCTCCCCAGGGATAGATGTCTTTCCCCTTTCTCTCCACCAGGGGTGCTGCAACCCATTTCACAGAGCTGGAGAGATCTGCTCCATTTGGGCGGTCTTCCCCAGGTCAGGCTTTAGCTAGCTCTTCCTGGGCCACAGAGCTTACCCACTGGGACCCCTCCTGCCACCTCTCCCAGGGCCAATCCAACCCCAAGTCTTGCTCCACTTACCTCCCAAGCAGCCCTCAAATTTCTCCCCTTCTCTCAGCCTCATGCTGTCTCCCTGGCACAGGCTGCCAACGTGCCCATGCCTCGTCCACTCTGCCCCTCCAGTGTTCCATCCAGAATGGACAGCTGTCCTCACTGTCCTTCCCTATAAAGCCTACACTGGCTCCTCACTATGGTCCACTACAGCCTCAGCTGCATAATGCACCCCTCCCTTGTGCCAGCTAGGTTCCCGCCACACTGGCCTCACAAGCGCCCTGCCCCCTCCCAGCTCAGGGCCTTCACACGTGCTGTTTCTGCCTCCTGGACCCTCTTTCCCCACCCTATCAGTCCTTATTCAACTCCTTCAGATGCTGACCTCTCCAGAGATGCCATCTCTGACCCTCTCACCACCAGTAGTACATCAAGGTCCCCTGTGATGTCTTCATAGCACTCTGTACTTCCTCTCCTTAACCCTTATCACTGTTTATAATTATGTATTTGAGTGGCTATTTGAGGAATATCTGCCTTCCCACTTCCTTTAAAAGTTTCCTGAGAGTGAGGCTGTGGATGTCTTTCATTAGGTCCCTAGAGGGCTGGCATATGCCAGAGGAATGAATGAATAAAAAGGGACTATTTCCTGACATGTCTTCTCCCATGTCAGGTCCCCAAAGGCAAGGCCATGGCCCAGGTCTGTATTCTGAGACTGATCCCCTACCCCACCTTGGCTTGAAACTTCATTGGGAATCAACAAATGCTGTACAGATGAATGATAACACCTTTTTCCTCGTTTCCTTAAGCTTGATATTTTAACTGCTCTTTTTTCTTTTTTTTCAGATGGAGTTTTGCATTTGTTGCCCAGGCTGGAGTGTAATGGGGCGATCTCAGCTCACTGCAACCTCTGCCTCCCAGGTTCAAGCAATTCTCCTGCCTCAGCCTCCCAAATAGCTGGGACTATAGGCATCCACCACCACGCCTGGCTAATTTTTTTGTATTATTAGTAGAGATGGGGTTTTACCATGTTGGCCAGGCTGGTCTTGAATTCCTGACCTCAGGTGATCCACCCACCTTAGCCTCCCAAAGTGCTGGGATTATAGGCGTGAGCAACTGTGCCTGGCTGATATTTTAACTACTCTTAAATAAACTCTGAGCCGGGCGTGGTGGCTCACACGTGTAATCCCAGCACTTTGGGAGTCTGAGGTGGGCGGATCACCTGAGGTCAGGAGTTTGAGACCAGCCTGACCAATGTGGTGAAACTCCATCTTAAAAAAAAAAACTCTGATGTGTTCTAATAAAATATTATTAATAATAGTATCTACATGGACATTGAAGTTGGCTGTCACTACCCACTTAATCTCTCAGGAAAGCATATTCTTTGATCATGAATATCTCTGCAGGCCTCTGTAATTCACTTTTCCCGCCCTGATTGACTCTATTGGCAAAACAATCACTATTTTCCTGCTTTTACAGAAGAGAAAAATAGAAGTTTAGGAAGATTAAGGGGCATGTCCATGGGTGGCTGAGCTGAACTTCTGTGTCCCAGCCCTGTAACTTACCACTCGCCTCCCAAAGCCTAGACTTTAAGCCACCCCACTGTACTTTTTTTTTTTTTTTTTTTTGAGACGGAGTTTTGCTCCTGTTACCCAGGCTGGAGTGCAATGGCGCGATCTCGGCTCACCGCAACCTCCGCCTCCTGGGTTCAGGCAATTCTCCTGCCTCAGCCTCCTGAGTAGCTGGGATTACAGGCACGCGCCACCATGCCCAGCTAATTTTTTGTATTTTTAGTAGAGACGGGGTTTCACCATGTTGACCAGGATGGTCTCGATCTCCTGACCTCGTGATCCACCCGCCTTGGCCTCCCAAAGTGCTGGGATTACAGGCTTGAGCCACCGCGCCCGGCCTCACCCCACTGTACTTTAAGCCACCCCACTGGACTCATGAGAAGAAGGAGGGCCAGTAATGGTTGTTGAATGAATGCATGAGTGAATGAATGCCTCCTGGAAAGTCTTTTCAGGAGAGAGCCTAAGCTGCAGGGGCCAGACCCCAGAACACCCTCTTCCCCCTTGAGAGACCACCCAAAGATGCTTTCTCTGGTCAGGGCTCTATGTTAGCTGGGAGCCCATAAGGAGAGGAGGAAAAGGGTTCCAGGCAAGGGGAAAAAGAATCTCCTACGGCAGCACCTCATGAGAACAGCACTTTACAGTTTGCAAAGCCCTTGCATTCACTGCCTCTCCCTGGGATCTCAAAGGAGCTCTGTAAGAAGCCAGGGAAGAACAAATAAACACACAAGGGAAAAAAAGGAGGAAAAGCTTTTTTCCCTCTTTGCAAAGCCAATATGTGTGTTCTTGGTAAACATTTGAGAACTATGCTGCCCAATGCAGTAGCCTCTAGCTACACGTGGCCACTTAAGTTTAAATTAATTAGAATTAAATACAACAAAAATTTCATTTTTCAGTCTCACTAGCCACATTTATTTATTTTATTTTGAGGCAGGGTCTTGCTCTGCTGCTCAGGCTGGAGTGCAGTGGTGCAATCATGGCTCACTGCAGCCTGGACCTCCTGGGATCAGGCAATCCTCCCAGCTCAGCCTCCCAAGTAGCTGGGACTACAGGCACACGCCACCACACCCAGCTCATTTTTGTATTTTTGTTTTGCAGAGACAGGGTTCTGCTATGTTGCCGTGGCTGGTCTCAAACCCCTGGGCTCAAGTGATCTGCCTATCTGGACCTTCCAAAGTGCTGGGATTACAGGCATGAGCCACTGGGCCCAGCCAACTAGCCACATTTGAAGTACTCTACATGTGGTTAGTGGCTATGATAATACTGAACAAGGCAGATAGAGAACATTTCCATCATCACAGAAAGTTCTACTGGATAAAACCAATTTACGACATATAAATAAGCAAAAGGAAGGGAGGAAAAACACCTGTCATTTCATTTCCCAAAGAAAACCACTACTAACATTTTGGCATGGATATTTCCAGTTTTTTCTATGGGTGGGCAATATATACTCTTTTTTTTCAAAATTGGAGTAAGACTCTACCATCTGTTTTATGGCCTGTTTTTTCACTTACCAAATTACTGTAAATATCTTTTCTATAACATATTTTTAAACAGGGGTGGAATGTTTGTATGACTACTATAATTTACTTACTCAGTTCTCTATTAACAGGTATTTTTGTTGTCTTCCATCTTTTTTTTTTTTTTGAGAGAGTCTCACTCTGTCACTAGGTTGGAGTGTAATGGTGTGATCTCAGCTTACAGTTGCAACCTCTGCATCCCAGATTCAAGCAATTCTCCTGCCTCAGCCTCCCAAGTAGCTGTGACTACAAGTACGTGCCACCACGCCCAGCTAATTTTTGTATTTTTAATAGAGACAGGGTTTCACCATGTTGGCTAAGATGGTCTTGATCTCTTGACTTTGTAATCCACCCACCTCATCCTCCCAAAGTTCTGGGATTACAGGTGTGAGCCACCATGCCTGGCCCATCTTTTTAAACTATCAAGACAACTGTTGTTTATTTTTAAAATTTAAACATTTTGTGTTAAGAGTTGTATTTCATTTTGATATCAATTCATTAGTTGTGTAAAAGTGGTAGATGCTCATTCAAGGAAAGCAAATAAAATACATGAAGTGCAAAGAAGAAAAGCAATCTCCCCACATCCCTCTATCCCCAAATAACCATATTTTCTTTCAAAAAAAAAATCTTTTTTTTGAGATGGAGTTTCACTCTGTCACCCAGGCTAGAGTACAGTGGCAGGATCTTGGTTCACTGCAACCTCTGCCTCCTGGGTTCAAGCGATTCTCCTGCCTCAGCTGTCCAATTACCTGGGATTACAGGCACATGCCACCACGCCCAGCTACTTTTTGTATTTTTTGCAGAGACGGGGTTTCACCCTGTTGGCCAGGCTGGTCTCAAACTCTTGACTTCAAGTGATCCACCCACCTCAGCCTCCCAAAATGCTGGGATTACAGGTCTTTCAATTTTTTTTTGTAAGATCTTTCTTTCTTTCTTTTTCTTTCTCTCTCTCTCTTTCTGCCTGCCTCCATTCCTTTCTTCCTTCCTTCTTTCCTTCCTTCCTTCCCCTCCCTCCCTCTTTCTTTTCTTGTCTTTTCTTTTCCTTTCTTTTCTTTTCAAAACAGGATCTCATTCTGCCACCCAGGCTGGAGTGCAGTGGCACAATCAGGGCTCACTGCAGCCTGGACCTCCTGGGCTCAAAGCAATCCTCCCACCTCAGCCTCCAGAGCTGTTGGGATCACAGGCATTTGCTACCACATCCAGCTAATTAAAAAAAATTTTTTTTAG